ATTCTCTGAGGGGGAGGGAGGGAAGAGGCTTGGGGAATAAAGCTGCCACAATAACGCATTGTAAAACAGTACAACGGATATACTGGAAGGGAGAGGAGAAAGAAACGGAAGAGACAAAGGATCGAAAAGAGAAATGAAACGGGCGATACATTTGCTCGCGCTTATCGTTGGCTACGTTCGAGTTTCAGTAGGGGTGGATAAATTGTAGAAGGGGTGGGGGAGAGGGGGAGTTGTATGCGATGGTATTCTTCCATCTTTCATTTTGTATTCGTTTTTTTTTTTTTTTTTTTTTTTTAACTATTGTTTCCTTTTTTTTTTTTTTTGCAATGAGTAACAAATCGATAGTTTAATATCTATCGTAGTTGTTGCGGTGAAATGGACACGAAACTTCCGGTGAATTTTATAGTAGATGTTTAAGACATATTAGATATAATATTTTACTGAAATAAGTTTGTCGGAAAGTTTTTTTATGCGACTTATATACAGTTTTTATTAAAAAATTTTTTTTTCATTTTAAAATATGGTTGCTAACGTAACTAATGCAACTAGTTTTTAGTTATTTCGAAATTAATAGAAAAATTAACATTATTATTTAAAATTAGCTCGATTTCTGAAGTATATTTCAAGGTTTATTTTTATTAAAAAAATTTTTTTTTCGTTTTAAAATATGGTTGCTAACGTAACTAATGCAACTAGTTTTTAGTTATTTCGAAATTAATAGAAAAATTAACATTATTATTTAAAATTAGCTCGATTTCTGAAGTATATTTCAAGGTTTATTTTCGAGGAAAATATAGAATCAACGATCAAACGCGAATATAAATAGTGGTAATGTATATCGGAAGGTTTCGAGGATAGCTTTTGGCTTTTATAGGTTTCTTGGAAGTATAAGATCGTAATAGTAAACTCTATTTTCACGTTTTATCGATTTTTTTTTCAAAATTGATATGATTAAAATATTAAAATAATTATTAGGAACATTATATTTAAATCTTCACGAGAGAAATATTCCAAACATTTTCTATTCCGTTTTTTTTACTCCTTCAATTAGAATAGAAAATTTATAAAGTTATTTTGAAAATTTGTTGTATAGGAATATTTGAATATTTGAAAAATAAATCAATCCTTTATTTGAATTATTCTCCAATCAATTCTTTATTATTCGTTAAAAATTTGATTTATACATCCGTAATCTATTAATCAAAATTCCAATTAATCGATCCCCGTATCCACTATCATTTTTACTTCACTTACAAACGACGTCCATCCAAAGATGTCCCAAATCGATCCTCCCTCCATTTTCCACGGTACAATCCCCTCGAAACCGATTTTTCCACAAAAACGAGCCACGTTTCGCTCGTTTTTCACCTTGTCCTCCCCCGAACAAGTACCGAACCGAGGAAAAATGGCCACGAATCCCAGCCCCGTCGTTCCATCCGTGTCCGAGAAGAGAGCAGCGGAAAACGCAGCGTCC